ATTATCATTATCATCATCATCATCATCATCATCATCATCATCATCATCATCAACATCATCATCATCATCATCCTATCCCATGAGGTTTCCACAACTTCGCCGAAGACGTTTTGCTGATGGTGGGAGACTGGTACCCCACCCGTGTGCTCTTCTATGCTTACTATAGCTGGAACTGGCTCGTCGTCACGCCCGTTCTCATCATGGTAAGTTGGGGTTTTCAGTTGTTGTTGTTGTTGTTGTTGTTGTTGTTGTTGTTGTTGTTGTTGTTATTCTTTTGTTTTTGTCTTTTTTTTGGGGGGGGGTTGTTTTTAGTTTTTTTGGTCAGTGTTTTACGGCCCTCGCAACTGCATAAGGTCATATGAGCGCGCGGGACACATTAATTATAAGCATTGTCAGTGTGGTAGGAATTAATTTTGAATTTTGTTGGGTTGGCAGTCGAAGCCTACTCCTATCGATGTTAGAACAACCTGGAGATCTTAACGTAAGTGGGAAAAAAATGTCTATGTTAGGTTTCGAACCCGGGATATATTGAATGGGAGGCGAACACCGTACCTCTAGACCACACGAGCCCCCGGCAAGTGATCGGTCGGTTACCTCAGTGGTCACCGAAATACAGCCCGCGGGCCAGACCCGGCATTGTCTTGTCAGTTTGGCGGGAGAGATCGAGTCATTCTTGGTCGCCCCCACACATTCGATATTTTATTTTGGTTGTTGTCATTATTTGGGTACGGCAAAATTACAAAGTCCTTTTCGTATTGAGAAATGTTGCTGTTAATTTTTATTTTTTTTTAGTTCCACAACATGTCAAGCCTTTTCTAATGCAATTCTTCGAGTATCTTGATAATGACTCAGAAAAATCTTAGGATTTTTAATAGAGCGGATAGAACATTAACCTAGTTTCTGACCTCATGATCTTAGTAATTCACAACGGCTTAAAACGTCAGTAAAACTTTGTAATTTTAAAGTAGCTATTTTTCCTTTTTAAAATATTTCTGTGGATGTCTTTCTTTCACGTTTCATGTACTCAGTGTATTGTATTAGGCAAAACAACTATCCAGCCCACTTTGAAAACAAGTTTGATGACCCTATGAATTAACTGGCTACTTATTGTTGGATATATATTGAGAAATAGACGGAGGGATCGATAGGCTTAATGATTGATATATCTATAGGTGAATTCACCCCCAGTGCTTCAAGGCTGTTAACTAAGTAACTCCTTCAAGGCTGTTAATAAAAACAAAACAATATTATAAGCCCTTGTTTTCGCCTCTCCTCTCCTACCCCTCCAAGAGCCTTTTCTTGGTTATAGAGTAGAACAACAACAAGAAACAACAACCACAACAACAACAACAACAACAACAACATAATCATCAACAACAACAACAACAGCAACAACAACAGCAACAACAACAACAACAACTACTACTACTACTACATCCAAAAACAAACAACCAACCTGGCCAGCCAACCCGACTCTAATCTCCTATTGGCCCCGCCCCCTTTTCCTAACTCGTTCCCCAATAGGCGATCGTGATCTTTGACTGCGTCACGTACGAACCAATCATCGACGAGAGTTACCCGGAGTGGGCGGAGGTTCTAGGATGGCTCATCGTGGGCTTCATCATGCTGTGGCTGCCCGTCTGGTACATAGCTCGCTACTGCTACGAGATGTATACAGCGCCGGCCACCGAGTCGGCTTGGGAGGTGAGTTCAAGCTTGACGGACCAACTATTATTATTATTATTATTATTAGTAGTAGTAGTAGTAGTAGTAGTAGTAGTAGTAGTAGTAGTAGTAGTAGTAGTAGTAGTAGTAGTAGTAGTAGTAATAGTAGTATTGTTGTTGCTATTGTTATTGTTATTATTATTATTATTATTATTATTATTATTATTATTATTATTATTATTATTATTATTATTATTATTATTGTTGTTATATTATTATTATTATTATTATTATTATTATTATTATTATTATTATTATTATTATTATTATTATTATTATTATTATTATTATCATTATTATTATTATAGTAAATGATGATGATGATGATGATGATGATGATGATGATGATGATGATGATGATGATGATGATGATGATGATGATGATGATGATGATGATGATGATGCTTGTTACTGTTGTTGCTATGTTGTTGTTGTTGTTGTTCTTCTTCTTCTTCTTCTTCTTCTTCTTCTTCTTCTTATTATTATTATTATTATTATTATTATTATTATTATTATTATTATATCATCATCATTATTATTATCTGGTTGGTAGCTGGCTGGTGCTCTGGTTTGGTCTGCTCCTTCTTTCCTGTCAAATGTATGTCGTCTTTATCTCTCTTCTTTCTTTCCTGTCAAATTATGTCGTATTTATCTCTCTTCCTTCTTTCCTGTCAAATGTATGTCGTCTTCATCGCTCTTCCTTCTTTCCTGTCAAATGTATGTCGTCTTTATCTCTCTTCATTCTTTCCTGTCAAATGTATGTCGTCTTTATCTCTCTTCATTCTTTCCTGTCAAATGTATGTCGTCTTAATCTCTCTTCCTTCTTTCCTGTCAAATGTATGTCGTCTTTTATCTCTCTTCCTTCTTTCCTGTGTAATGTTACTCTCAGTAACACCTCTAATCCTCTGTACTTATATAACCGATTTGTGTTGAAAGTGCGACTAAAAAGAACGAAACAGGACAATTTGTTTTTAATGATAATAATAATAATAATAATAATAATAATAATAATAATAATAATAATAATAATGATAATAATAATAATTATTATTATTATTATTATTATTAATCAATGATAATAATAATAATAATAATAATAATAATAATAATAATAATAATAATAATAATGATAATGATAATAATGATAGTAATAATAATAATAATAACAAAAACAACAATAGTAATAATAATAATAATAATAATAATAATAATTATTATTATTATTATTATTATTATTATTATTATTATTATTATTGTTGTTATTATTATTATTGTTGTTATTATTATTGTTATAATACATGTAATAGTAATTATCAGGGATCAATACATTTTTGGGGGACAATAAACATCCCTTGTTCCCTCAAACAAAAATATCAGTCAGAAGTAAAACCAAGCTTTTGATCGGTAACAAAGAAAGACACAGACGATCATTCTTACTATCATCCTTCAAAATGCTTCAATCTTGACCAACTTGTTATAAGTATTCATATGACCCTAGAGCATGCATCAGAATACCTTTGAGTTACAATCAGAATACTGAGTTTGTATCTAGCTTAACATTATTATGGTTTACAGTACTGTTCATTTATATTATGCCTGTGATTGTAAGCCTGGGGTGGGTGAGTGTGAGTGCATATATTTGTGTGCGCGTGTGTGGGCGTGTATGTGTGTGTGTGTGTGTGTGTGTGTGTGTGTGTGTGTGTGTGTGTGTGTGTGTGTGTGTGTGTGTGTGTATGTGTGTATGTGATGAAACACCAAACCAATGTGCAAGGATCTGGACCATAAAGACGTATCTTATCTTATCATGATAACACACATAGTGAATTTTGTCTCAACGCTCAATCAAATTAAATCTAAACACGTTTTCAACTACACTCGCCAGGTGTTCGTTCGCATGAACCGCCCAACTATCAAATGGGGTCCGCACTTGCCCGAGAATCGAACCCTTCCCCGCTACCTCAGACTGCTGGAGGCAGAGAACACCGTCAAGTTGCCGTATTATGAGAAAGGTGGCGCCATGAAAGCAGAGGAAGGTGGCGGTTCAACAGAGAAAGGTCAAGGGTCATATCCGCCCGTGTACAACGACGCAGTGAAAACTGGGCATATTAACCCGGAGTTTGAGCCTGACAGTGCGGTGGAGAATACCCACCTGTAATGTGTGTTTTCATGTGTGTGTGTGTGTGTGTGTGTGTGTGTGTGTGTGTGTTCTCATGTGTGTGTGTGTGTGTGTGTGTGTGTTCTCATGTGTGTGTGTGTTTGTGTGTGTGTGTGTGTGTGTGTGTGTGTGTGTGTGTGTGTGTGTGTGTGTGTGTGTGTGTGTGTGTTCGAGCGCCTTTGCTGTGTCAATTGGTTAGGGTTAGGACTAGGGCTGGGGTTGAGGTTAGGTTGGGGTAGGAGTTGGGGTTGGGTTTAGGGTTAGGGTTAGGACTAGAGGTAGGACTAGGGTTGGTGGAGCTGGGGTTAGAGTTGAGGTTAGGGTTAAGGTTAAGACTAGGGCTGGGGTTGAGGTTAGGGTTAGGGTTAGGTTTGTTGATTGCATTAGCCTAGGTAGACTGACCGATTGGAGGGCTCAATGAAAGTTTTACCTGAAAAAAATGTGTCGAGCCTCTTTGCTCTACTTAATTATGTCTTTTGTGGCGCTATAAATGCAAATTGTTAGTTTGCTCAATCTCCCTTCTTCCATTGCCAAATCTCGCCACCATCGTTTTCTTCGCACCAGTCAAGCAACTTGTACATGCACAAGTTCACTGACTTTTCGCTGAATCAAAACGTGCAGTGTTGATATTAACCGCTGTGACAATATTGACACACGGTCTTAATGTCTCTGTATATTAAGTCTTTTTAGGTTCAGATTTTTCTATCGTTAAATGTAAACTGGAAGCATTCCTCCATCAAACCCCGTTCTTAAAATGTGGACCAACTACGTCAAAGTCAAAGTTTCGAATGAGCAAAAAAATATGATAAAATGCACGACAAAGCCGGTAGTGGCCGTAAACAAAGATGGGTAATTACATGTAAACATTTGAGCCAAAGATGGGGCTTCCAGGTATTCCACGTCATCTTCAAAACGTCTTTCGCAAATGTGGTTACGAGGATCAAGATGTGGTCCCTTGAGGAGTAAGACCTGGATATGTGTGCGAGGTCAAAGAAGTTCCAAATTGAGGGCCTAAATTTACTTTTACCATTTTGTCTACACGTACACCTGATGTTAACCGGTCTTTGTGGTCTTGTTTGCATTGAGCAATGTAATCACGAGGAAGGCTGAGGTTTGAACTCGAAGAAGGTTCCTTCCTCTCAGCCTATAATGTAGAGCAATACTTGTCCACCTTTTTACAGACACGCCCACTTTTACCAGCTTTAAGAAGCTACAATTGTCGTACCGCCCACCTACACGTATTTCCAAGCTGGACAATAAATAATCACGTGTCACTACACATGGAAGTTCCCCGCCACCCACCAACATTATCTAACTTCCCGCCAGTGGGTGATATCGCCCAGGTCGGCAAGTACTGGTGTTGGCTTATGATATTCTTAGCCCGCCTTCGCAAAAGCATAAACAGTGAGGTATGAAGCAAAGTCTAACCCACAGCAAATAAAACCAATCATAACGATATTGGAAAGCAGGACAACGCCAAACTGTTCCCGTCTTCAACATCTGAAAATTCTGCTTTTGACTCGTAGTCGTAGGTATCTGAAACCAGAAAAGCGGAGTGTTGAAAAACTACATAAAATGTCTCGCGACTTCCGTGATTTCCTCTGCAAACATGTGCGTCCTGCATATTCAATGTAGATCAACGAGTATTTAGATTTTTTACTCGTTCAGTCTACCTTGGATTGTATCCTCTGCCTCTATAACATCACTGGCACAATAACATTCGACAAACTCAACAGATGAAAAAGCAACAACTTAAGCAAAAACAAAAGCCAAAATAGATGTAAAAACCGAAGTCTAAACAGCATAGAAAATATGTCAATTGGGTATGTTTGTTAGTGATAGAACAAGAAAGAAAAACAACAACAAAACTTCAATACAAGCTGACAATAAGCATGTTGCTATGGCTATCGCCACCAGTTAAACTCCCCAAGTCAGTGCGCTTTTGCACATAAGGGACTCCATCTTTGAATAGTTTTTGGGTTAGTTTTAGTTACGTCCCCTTGAAAGAGAAGAACCTCAAAGCCTACTCCAAGATCAACACATTTATTAATATTGTTCATTTTTCCAGCATGCATTTTGAACATAATTATTTTGGTATTGTTTCCGTTTTCCAAAGAACCAAACACGCAAAACTAAACTGCTCAAATGGACGCTTAATGTTGTCTGCATATAAGGACTGTCAGTATATTTACATGTAGCCTATATATATATATACAAATGTACAATAGCAAAATTCCCTCTTTTTTGTTTCTATTTTTACACGCACACACATTCCAGACATTCCAAAAGGTATAAAGTTTATAATAATATATTTTTTCGTTACATCTTCGTGTATATAATATAATATTTGTACATGGTATATCTGTAAATGTATACGGCATAATCGTGAAGTTTCAGTATGTGGACGTATTATATCTATGTTCTCTCTGAACTTGACAAACTGTGGCTTGTCCTAGAGTCTAAAGTTAAGTGTGATCTTCACCAACTTTGGACTCTGTGCAGATATCCCATCTCCGTATTGTGTGAGATACAGATTTTTTCTCCCCCCCCCCCTTATTTTCTTTCTTCTTATTTCTGTTCTGTTTTTAAAAACGAAAGCTTTCATGATCATAAAACCCTAGCGAAAGGAAAAAA